AATAAACTATGTCGATTGGCAATGAGTAAAATAGGTTTCTCTTCTCTTTCAAATATTTCCAGATTTTTTGTCTCCAATTTTCCTTAGCTACCCGGTTAATTGAAATGACCAAGTTAAGGTGTCTCGTCCAACCTCTTCCATCTACAGTGGATAGTTGGCTGTCATGGCGAAAATGGAAGCATGCGAATCATTAAATGTTTTTTCCCCTAGGGTAATTAACAGTAATTTTATGTTTTCTTCCATTTTTCGCTTTATTGAAAATAGAAAGAAATGGCCTTGTACATGGAGCAGAGTTCTGTGGCGATTCCATAACTTTGAGTTAAGCTCTTTACCTGAAAAAAATAGTCCCTCTCCTCTCTACTGGCATTTTTAGCTGAAAGTACATTAGCAATGCGATTTTCTCTCGCAGAGAAACATATTTACAATAAACTCGAGTGGTGTGCTGGCGCAAACAGAGTCATAGTTAGAGAATGGAGAGCCTTAGAGCTCCGCAGTCAGAGAGCTTAGGTTAATTGATCCGTAACTTAGGTGAATAGTTGAAAGGCGACAGACTTACTAAATTGTGAATAGGTGGGTATAAATGGTTTTTGTCGGTGTCTTTCCTAATTACATATCTACTAGTCAATTTTGCCTAGTTATAGCCCAGACGTTAGCCTCCAAAGCCTATGCTTAAAAGCTCACGAATTTAATCGATTTTTCAGAGAAATAGACTATTTCAAATGTCATGAATTTATTTTTCAGTTCACCGACGATTGGCAAAACCAAGCTCTTTTCTTTACTCAATCTCCTTAAGCGTCTACTGCCACCAATTCAACAAGCGACCACAGATGGCACCTTGGTACAAGCTTTCATTCCGCTTGTCTTCAGGTAACTCCTCAATCTCCATTTAATCTATCTCCCATAGCTTGAAATAAACTCCTCTTATTGTGAGTGTCAATGTAAGAGATAAGATAAGCTAATCAGCCCTGTACCTAGCACTCCTATCTTTACCTATGCTACTTTTACCGCAAGTAGTATGACTCCATCTTCGGTTATAATAACCGCTTAAATGATATTATTTCTATTTTTTTCCCGGTTACGTCTGTTGATTGATGTGCATGTTTCGTCATGGTCGTTCCCAATAGCCATTATTTTAAATGCTCATTTCCCAAATCTTCCTTAATAGGTGTGCTGGTGCGGCAGACATTCGAATCCGTTTGATGGGAGCGAAAGCTCTTGTAGCCCTGTTACAACCTTCCTGTCTTCCCCGTTTAGCGCATTGTCTCCTTCTTGACGCCTCACCTTATGTGCTCAACGCTGCGAGTCAGGAACCGTGTCTTCCAACTAACCTGGTTCATGGAATGTTCCTTCAGGTAATTTCATTGTTTTATTCAATCTGCACTTTGTTGTAACTGGTTCAAACCAGTTTAATATGATATACATAGGGTGTTCCAGAGAAATTTTGTAGAATAATATTTGACTGTAATTCCAAATGTGTTAAAGGGGTTCACACAAACTACGCTTTCTTTAGAAGTTTAAATCCTTTTTCACAAGTACTTGATGAGAACAAGAGTTAATGTTGACTAGAACAAATCTAACGCTTGGAGGAGATTAACCTGTATTATAATGATTCGTGGAAGCCATCAAAATGACGTGGTTATGGCACCTGGTCAATGCTTCTTGAACAATTTGAAAAGAGTCCTGCATAAAGTGGAGATTTGAAATTGAGAGAATACAGGCTGCTGTGATTTGAAGAATGAAACATAGCAGACGGTTTGATCGGGTTTCCTCGAAAATGTGGCAAAGGAGAAGAAAATTCTGGGTATAATGAATCATCTTACTGAAGTACAAGTAATCTAGTTCTTTTCTGGTGGAAAAGCTCTTACCAAAGTAGAAAATACGCAACACACCGATTAAAAGATAGCTTCCATACGGTCTAAAGGATACCCCTCGAGTTACGCAGACCAAATTTACGAAAACTGTCATAATTTTTAGAGTGACTTAATGTCACGCCAAGTTCTTTTAAAAGAAGGAGCTTGGGTCGAATTCAGATTCCCTCGTGAAATTGTTGACCACTGTAGTTGTTAAGCCTTGAGTAAGGAGGGTGATCAATACTTGGCCATTCGCGTTGTGGGAACAGGATTTCGCTCCTAGCCATACTTCGGTAATAAGCTAAAATTTGTGTCAGCCTCTTAACTCTCCCCCTCCCCGTTCCCCAGGTCCTGACTCGATGGACTATTATATCTCTCTTTGGGGTTTTTGAGAAACACCAATAATCGAGCCAGTATTTCAAATGCCAATCAGTTAATGAGGTAAATGAAGGCGGTTTTAGGCACCCTTCCCAGCAAAAGCTCAGAACTTGATTTTCTCTAGGTTCCGTGGCTGGGGTCAGATTTAGTCTAATGGTGGTTATCTTGAGTGCAATTCTTTGGCAATGGTGTAATCTCCTTGTCCTTTGAGTTTCTTCAAATCTTTTAGTTCAGACTGTTGAGTTGTTCGTAATCTTCATGTAACCTGGGTCTTGGAGTGAGAGTTTGTTTCTATAGGCTGACACTTAGTCTAGAGAACATTTTCAACCAGGACGTTTTGAATTTTGGTTTCTACAAATCCAGCCACACATTCGTCTCTACTAAACTACTCTATTCATTTCCCCTTATAAAGATCGTTTATGCCGAATGCAATGCTGAACATTTTTGCTTATTTGGAAATCTCTATTCAACTGCCATAGTGACACGATATTATATACACGTGAAATCGATTATAGAGTTGTCTACGCTCAGTTGTCTTTAGTATATGACACGAGTCAACAAATAAAGATCCTATTTGGGCTGGAACTTATGTTTTTTCAAAGTCGACTCCACTTACTGTCAGTGAAATTTCTGCCAGGACGACTGGGCTACTTGAGACGGGGCTGCATGTGCTAATCGAACTTATTTGGTTTCGAAATGCATCACAATTATTATATCTGTCAATAGGGGGAAGTCTGTCGAAAAATGTTTGTCATAGAACTCAATCTTTCACATTTACAGTTTTCTTTTTTTGCCTCTAAGGTTTTAGAAATTATGAAGTCGGAGTATTGGCCAGTCTACGATGCCACCTTACTTCAAAATATGCCCCATTTGGAGTACTTAAATACCATATCTACTCTTCTATCCAAAATGGCTTCTGAGTGCTTCAATTCTTCCTCGAATATTTGTCCCATTATACGTCAGACATGTCTTGCCTGCATCGTGGCCTTCGGTTCATCTAATAACAAAACGAATGCTAAATGGGCTTTAAGTAATGTACTCGAGGTTCCGAGTTCACTTGATGTTGCATCTATGGAACTCCTTATTCAACTTCAAGATGCGTTCAATAGCAAGCATACTTCCCTTGAATTTCTAGTAAAAGATGTGTTGAATGGAAATAATCCGGAGGTAAATCAATTTCGGCTGATAAAAATCACCCTTTTTGTAGTTGAAGCGTTTAATTCTGGGCCTTCTTGTAAAGCACCTCAATGGAAAAGGCATAGATTTCTCCAAATATGGACGATTGCTTTGTTATGAAGATGTTGTCAACCTCCTTGGGGAAGTTTCTTCCCCTCCTTATCGTTTTAATGGGAATGGAAGGTGTCTTGGCATTTCTTCCTGTGTCCCTCAATTAATTAAAGAAATTGGGACATCATTGAAACGTCCATACCAACCATATTCTCTGATAGGGTATCATGCTTCACAATTGCTCGTCTCTATGGTGGATGCAGTTTCTTGGGATTACCAGCTGCCTAAATTGGAAGAAAATGAAGCACTACCGATGCACTTGGGGCCTCTTTTAACTGTCAAGGCACTAACCTCATCGGATAAGGAAGGGATTCTTGGACTCCTGGCTGGCTATGCGGATCCAAAGAATCTTGATGTTCATTGGAGTATTCGAACTGAAGCCATTTTAGCGGTTGATAGACTTCTATCACAAGACAGAGGCAGTTAGTCATGAAAATTTTTTTTGATCTGATGGTTTTTCGTTCTTAAATTTGCAGTTTTTGGTCCAATTTTTTTAACCTTTTTTGTCATATTTAAACAATTTCGAATTGATTAAACTGACAGTTATTTTTCATAACGAATGCCTTTACTATTGAGCACTATCCAAAACGAAAGGAATGGTATTCTTATTTTCATTGTTAATATATGTTCGTGACCGCCTTTCAGTCTTTAACTCTAACTCCTCGTTTTAGCGAGATTGTTCCACGAAGATTTGGTTGGAGATACAGTCCTCCTGACAGGAAGACGACTGAACAAGATTGCAGTGTTTATGCAATGTTGTGAAAAGACTAAATCACATTATGTGGGTGGGGGAGGGTAGTCCAAAAGGGACCCATCAGTAATCAGGGTCATGTTTGTTCGAATATCTAGAAAAGCAGTGGAGACACGACTCCGGTGTTCTCGTTGTAAATGATGCTCTTCCTATAAATAGTATAATTATAAACAATAAAGTGCTTTGGGAGTTACTGGAATTCTCTCTTATCTTCCTCTTGATCTGACTCATCTGTAGTCTAGCAATATTCAGTTGACAAATAGAGCAACGCGTCAGAAACTGGACTTTCTAACGTTGCAAAACTCCTCATCTGTTCTTTTTTATACAACTATACGAGCGTTCCTCTTTTACTCTAAACTCCCAATATTTGTCCTTTTCGTTATCTTTGTTTAAATTCCATTTCGGTCAAAATGGCAATTCAATTTGACTTTCAATTCATTTGAGATGAAGTCTTAATTTCATTGGTTGGTGAAGTTTTGTTTATTTTTCTTCTCTTTTCTAGGTGTAATTTCCAATCTTCCCATTAACGTAGCTATTTTAAGAAGTCTCATCATGGAGACAGACGATGAAGTGGTACTTATTGCTGCAAAGACAGCTTCGAAGATTCTACATGAACCAGACAAGTATCCGCAAGAGTCCCTTCCACCGGTTATTTTACCACCGTTTCTATCGAACTTCGTCGCCACTTTCGGTGAGGTTGCTATACCAGTTGTGTTGAAGCTTATACAAGAGGATTTGCTTGCGGATGAGAGTGGTGGATCGGAGGTGATTAATATAACATAATTTTAATTGTATTGATGTCTGATTACTGGTTCTAATTCTCCATTTTGCAGGTCTCGACTCGAGTATTTTTATCCGAAGAGTCATCTTCTCCAACAAGTGCTGTAGAACTGACGGCCATGTTCTGTCCAGTTGTCAAGACTTGGATTCAGAATGCCTCATCTAAGGAGAGAAATAGTCGCGTTGTTGAGGAAATTCGTCATCGGGGTTTGACTGAATTTTTAGGCGGATCGGCTTCAGAAATGAACTACTCCCGTTCGGGCGAAGTCAAGGCTCTACGCAGAACAGTGGCCCATCTGTTTACATGTTTAATTAGAGACATTAATCAAGAAATTTGTTTCTGAGATAATCTCTTTTATATAACCCCTTTTTTATTAATGTTTTAAGTTATTAAATTATTGCTCACTTCGGCAACTACTTTTTTGTCATTATTTCGACTATCGATGAAAAGGGAATGTGGTATTTTACTTGTCAAGACCGGGAATTCGTGATTTAATTTTCACTTTGGCTAACGGAGGAAGAGAATACATTGTCTCAATGAGAGCTAAGATGCAACCAGAAATTTTGTAAAACGAAATCTTTATGTCAATATTTTCGGTATACTTTTAACAAAGTTGGGGTGTTTGAATATGCAGCGCTATTAAATGGTAATAACTTGAGGAGGGAGTCACCAGTTCACCTTAAGGGAGCATGAAATGGTCTGCCACTCTATATTTGGTTTAGTGATTTCCAAAACCCAAAATCGTAACAAGTGTGAATAAAACGCTTTGCAAAAATGCTTCCTTTAAAAATCTTTCTTCACCCAGAATTCCATTTGAAGGAGAGACGGACAATCGGTCTTGCTCTTACCATTTACAGATGGTTTCATCATTATTGTTGTAGGACTCCTATATTTAAGTAAGGTGGGGTGTGCGATAGACTTACCTCCACGTGGTGCACCCTGGGCAACCTATGCTCATACGGCAAAAAAGTCTATTAACTGGTAGTTGACTTCTCACTTCAAACTACCCTCACCTCACTCTATGCCATATTCGACTACTTCCATAGTACTCACCTCACCTTTGTTCTACCTTTGTGTTTGTCTCTTATATCTTTGAAACATTCTTCTGTTCCCCCCCCCCTCTCGACTTTTTTCAAGTTGATGTTCCTTCCCCTCTGTGAAGTTTGAAGTCAACTAAAGGGCTAATGATAACCATCAAGACGCCTGCCATTTGATATAAATAAAATAAATATTTAAGTAAGGTTGCAAGTTATGTTGGGAGGTGCTCAAAGGGGACGGCCAATTAGTGCTTAATTTTATGGCCTATTTTTATGCCAACCATCTTCAAACTTTTGACTCCTGCCTCATTCTACTCAACAGAAAACTCCCCAAGTGCTACTTATTGGTTAAGTACTCCCTTAGCGTATCAGCGAGTTGATGGAACTTCAATCCGATGGTTGCATATTTCTCGAAAAAAGTAGGATTCTGACAGTTCTTGTGTCGTCTTCGATTGTAGCAAGTGGTTTAGCAGCATTTATTTATTTCAACTTGTGATGGTGGTGAGAAGCTCGAATTCTGCAAAACCCTTCAAGTAGTAAGAATTAATCAGCTTGATTAGCATTTTGGCTCACTGATCATTGAATCCACGACCTCTGATCTTGCAGATGATCATGCCAAGCTTTGCGTAGCGGAAGTAGTGGTGTATTGATTCTCAAATGCCAAATAATTTAATGAAAATTTCAATATTTCTGATTTGCTCTACTTTTCCGAAATAGAAGAGGAGAAATGAAAGCAATCAGTGCATGAATTCCATGATAAAAGTCATATAATAAGATTACAATTGACATAGCTCCTATCGATATCATACATTTCTTTTAAATCAATGCACTTAAGGATCACCTAGGGGGGGGGGGGAA